TGGTTTGGTGTAGAAGGCTTCCAGCCGTACATGTTTGAGCCCTTGCCTCGCAACGCTGCCAGTTCTGTTAGCTCTACGCCTGCCGAAGACACAGACTTCCATCCCCGTGAACACTGGGACGGAACTCAATGGGAAAGGAATGATTCTGAGTTCTTATTTCAACCGTTACGTATATTAGCTGCGACATATGAATCAAGATGCTATGACCGAAGTTCAGGCTGACGTATAACTAACTGGCCTGAATAAGATAAGGAAAAAAAAACCCCACAGGTTTTAAGACAGGATTTTTTTTTTTTTTATAGAAATTCTCTAACTTCTGCGACAACAACGTCTGATAAAGAGTACACTTATATACATGTTTAAGCCAGAATGATTTGAAATTTAAATATGACTTCCCTACGACTTTAAAGAACACTTTTTACAAATTAAACCAGGTGAAACTAAAACTTTTCCACTTGTGTTCTGGTTAGAGAATATGGATAGACAAAAAGGTTTTTTTTCATCTTAAATGCAAAATGTTTACACTTTTTTTTTTTTTACAATTTTGGTAAACTTTATACTTTGGTATAGTTACTGCTCTAAGTGGATCCTCTGCCAGCAAAAGAAATTCAGTTTCAGAGTCTCTATATTCCATTTAAAGATCAATCAATATTTCAATTTATCGATAAATAACGATTAATCCAATTAATTGTTTCAGCCCTTGTTTAAACTCAGTATTAGAAAATACGATCTCCCGTTCAGCCTTATAGAGGAATACCTGCCTGAGCCAACTCCACATTAAAGGCTCTCAGAGCCAGGGAGGAGCGCCGCGCCTCCTCTGGGAGGAGGAGACAAGATAAAAAGCCCTCATAGTCTCTGGACCTGAGGAGAAACAAGAAAAGATTTCAGATATCTGCAGTCACTGTGGAACAAATTAAGCTTTTACTCTAACTGGAGATGGCGTGTGGCGTCAAACCACCTAAAAGGAAACCTTTAGTTGTTCACGTTACATTAGTTTTTTAATGCTAAAAATCCTGACTGATGTTCTCCCTGAATTTTCTTCTGTTTGTCTAAGAAACATAACCAAGAAGAAGCTGTTTCTCAGCTCTGTCTCAGATATACTAGGATCTGGCAACGCCTGTCTCACGTGACAATCAATCTATTTCGAAAAGGAATCCTCTATTCCTATTCGTGCAGCATCCTTTGATGTCATTATTAGCATTTAAATCACATTGGATGGATCAAAATATATTAACTAGTTATTGAAATACCATATTTGTTCTGTAAAGTTAAGACTTTTATTCAGCACCACTCTATACCTTCTGTGGATGTTTCATTTCAGAAAAATGAATCAGTTTAATGAAAAAGTTTCAGCTATGAACTTTACTTCTGCTATTTTAGACCGAAAATGTCTTAGTGCTGCCCTCTAGGGGTTGAAAATGGCTACTACAGTTGAATTTCCCAAATGTTAAAGTGGATGGACATCCATCTATCCATCCATGCATGGGTGCATGTCCCTCCATATCTAGATGAGCAAAGCTGGTAGAGAAATTCCCTAAATGACTTTTTAAGCATCCATGCAAAGAGGCTGGATCCAAATTCTCCCCACGCCTCTGTCAGACTCATTTATTAAAATATTAAACCCCATTTTCTTTCTACTTTAAAATCCTGCACCACAAAACACAATGAAGTTTGTGATTCTAAAATGAAATTAAATTAAATGTTCAAGGCTACTTTATATACTGATACTTTATAGAGTGAAGGTACTTCGGTACTAAATGATAATTCTAAGACAGAGAAAATCTGTTTACTACATATTCCCATAAGCTGAATAAGTGTCATTATTTTTTGAGCTGATGGCCACAGATGTTTTAATGAATGACCCCGGGTCAGTTAGAGCAAGCCGAATGGTAAAGCACGTTCCTACAAAGTCACACCGAACAAAAAAAAATTAAATACTTTAATAATCACTAGAATAGCCGCGTTATATCTTTATTTACCATAAATTTAAACGAAATTTGGCACATAAATGTATGTGTTCGTATGTTTCCCAGTCATTGTGTCAAGAAGTATTGGAACATTTTTAAAGAAACAATTTCCATTATTTAGTTTATTTAATTTTGAGAGAGGAACATTCAGTAAATATTTTCCTGCTGTCTGTTAGGTTAGCATGTCTGTTAGCAGAGCTGGAAAACAGCAGGACCTACCTGACCAGGTTCAGGCAGTACTTCTCATTGTGCTGAGCGTCTCCTGCTGTGTTTGTTGACCTTCTCACACTCTGTAATCCAGCCGTCCTCTGAACACAAACTCTGTTCGGCGATATATTCCTCGGAAAACTGTAAATCAGTGAAGTTCTGTTTAATAATCCATGCTGAACACTGACGCCGGCTGCCATGTTCCCCTTCAACTAGTGATGCGTTCAATGTTCCTCGTAAATAAGAGGGGAAAACTTCAAAATTAGCTTAAATGTTGACATTATTCAATTTTATAATCAACTAAACCAAAGACAAACATTTTAGAAGGCTAAATTAAACCAAAGGCTTGAAATGTTACTTTTAATAATTTTTATTTAATTGTAAGATATTTAAAACTCAATATTCCAAATTCCTTGAACACAGCAAATGCTCTCTTTTTGTGTAACATTAAAACGCCCCCGTGACCATCCGGCAGAAATTAACGAGAAATTTGAAATTAAATCCTTCCACGTAGTGTACGAGGTCTTTGGTTTTATTATTTCAAATAAATATATCTGAATAAAAAAAATTACATTGATTTAATACACTTTTGCAGCTTTG